CCAGTCTAGTGCAGATCCAAACCAGGATGTTAGCTCCTGACTACTGACTACTGACTCGGTAGTTAGTAGTTAACTCCCTAGCTACCGGCTGAGTTCCAGCTGCCCCTGGGCCTGGCTGCGTCAACTCCTGGCCTACTGCTTGCAATAGTGACGTTCACGAACCCTCAGAGCCATTTGTTTACTTCAGACACACAAAAACCCACCAAAGTCTGCATCCCCATCATTCCTGTGTGGCCACCGAAAAAAAACCTGACATTCAGAGAGGCTAAGGGAATTGCTCAAAGCCACATGGTTACTGAAAGCCCGTATTTGTTGCCTAAAGCCCATATTTCACCTAGTTTTCTTACCGCCTCCTGAACTCCACTTACCCCCAAACTTAGCACGAGCTCTGGTAACAGCCAGCACTTGCACCTGCACTGGGGGTTTGTCCCGGGATGATGTGCTCGCGGGGGGCGGCGCCGTCCGAGATTGTTCGAGCGTCTCCGACCTGGACCACGCGCGCCCCCTAGCGGTTACCGTGGAGGCTGGGCGCCCCGGTCCCCTTTTCCTCCTGGGGAAAAAAATGGGAAGTGGCGGTGCACTCGTGAATTCTGTTTTATGGCCGCGGAGCCCACCGCCCCCGGCACTCTGGGGTGAGGGTCCGTGGATTCCGGGGCGTGGGGTTCGGTCATCCTCTCCAGGTCTAACGCCCGCCCTCGTTCCGAGCCTCTGGGTCTAGGGCTGAGTCTCGGCTTCCTGACTGTGAAGTGGACACCTTACTTCGTGGGAGCCAAGACTGCCCCTGACCAGACTGGCATCCAGCCAGCCTTAGAGGGCTCTGACAGAGGCTGGGCTCTCACGACCATGGTGCTCCCCCAGAGCCTCGGGAAACTTGCACCCCCTCAGCCTGCTGAGAGCCTGGCGGGGAGGGGGGAAAGGGGAGGGGGGACTCTTTGCCTTTAACGCCTTGATCAGTATATACAACATACTGCTTGAGTAATACCAAAAATAAATTAGAATTTTGGCCCACTGCTTCTAACCACTGCTTATTAAAATGGTCTTCTCTGCTAAAAATGATTTCAGGATACAAATTATTTCCATCATCAATTTATCCTTTCTTATGTTTCTGGGGATAATTTGACTCCTAACAAAATCCAGTCTTTGTGTTAAGGGTTTTTCTTATCTGGTTAGATTCTAGGTAAATTGGGGAAATATATTTGCATTTCATCAACAGCTTATTTAAAGGTGATTTAATCTGTTTGATCCCCAGCTTCATCCCAAACAGGAGTGGAGGCAGCAACAGTTTCTTGCCCACTGATGTGTGCCAGTAAGAGAGCCAGGCACTGGGGGCAGAGAGGTGAATCAGTCAGGGATGGTGAGGGGTGGCTGAAATTGTGACTGGAGCCCAGGCAATCTTGGCTGTGGTAGGTGAGCCCAGGTATTGTATTTGAGGACGGCCTCATCCTCCTGTCACCTACACAGCTGGGCTCGGCTGTGGTCTGGAAGAAGGTATGGTCCATGGAGGCCATGTAGTGGCCTAGCCCCCTCATTTTATCTCAGCTCTCAGTACAGAGGTTCACTTCCTACAGCCTCATAAATATTCTGAAAGATCCAGGGTAAAAAGAGGGGATGAGAGGCAAAGAATCAATGGAGAAGACCAGAATGGGGAGAATGTTGCCAAATATCAGTTTATTACCTGAACAAATTTGACCCTTTGATGTACGTGGTTCTCCCCCCCCCCCGGCCCCCCACACTTAAGGCCTCCTTAGAAGGTAAATAGGAGGGCCTCTCAGTCCCTGGTCCTGAGGGATATCAGTCTAACAAGTTTTAGAATGGACACTTAGGTCTTTTCTTTCTTGTGTTCTGTAATGCTTTAGTTGGAGCACTCTGAACTCTGCAGCATGTTTTCAGAGGCTGCCACTTGCCAGGTTGGGCAGTGAGCTGTGGGTGGGCGTGGAAACTGGAAAGGGAACAGGAGTGTTGCTCTGCCTTGCCTGGCCTCTCAGTCATATGGTGATGTGAGTAAAACCCAAGAAGAAATGCTCTCCTCCCCAGTGCTCTCCTTAAGGCTCTCCCTTAGCCATAAACTCCAAGTACTGTTCCTTTTCCTAGAGTCCAATCCTGGAACAAAGAAGAAATGCAAATGGCCACTAAATACATGGGAACATGGTCCACCTCATTATTAACCAGAAAGGCCAATTAAGATTGCCGTAGATGGGGCGCCTGGCTGGCTCAGGTGGTGGAGTGTGTGACTCTTGATCTCAGGGTTGTGAGTTCAACTCCCTCGATGGGTGTGGAGCCTACTTAAAAAATATTATTTATATAATATTTTAATATATAATATATATATTAGAATGCAGTAGATACTGAGCAGTTTGGTATTTTAAATGTGTATATAATCTAGCTATTCTGATTCTAGAAATATATCTTTTTTAAAGATTTTATTTATTTATTTGACAGAGAGAGAGACAGCGAGAGAGGGAACACAGCAGGGGGAGTAGGAGAGGGAGAAGCAGGCTTCCCACTGAGCAGGGAGCCTGACGCAGGGCTCGATCCCAGGACCCCGGGATCATAACCTGAGCCGAAGGCAGACACTTAACGACTGAGCCACCCAGGGGCCCCTCGAAGAATATATCTTAAGAAAATAGTTGAATGGATGCATCAAGAGAAATGTGTGAGGATATTTTTGAATCACTGATTATAAGAGAAGTCCCTCAGCAGGTGATTGGTTGAGAGATTATGAAGCATATCTAGGCTGGAATGTCATATAGGTTAAGGAGCTTAAGGAGCAGCATCCTCATGGTTTCCATGGTGTTTCTTTCTTTCTTTTTTTTTTTAAAGATTTTATTTATTCATTTGCGAGAGAGACAGAGAGAGAACAAGCAGGGGGAGAGGCAGAGGGAGAAGCAGACTCCCTGCTGAGCAAGGAGCCTGATGCGGAACTTGATCCCAGGACCCTGGGATCATGACCTGAGCCAAAGGCAGACGCTTAACTATCTGAACCACCCAGGCGCCCTCCATGGTGTTTCATCAACACCCACGTGTGGTCCTGGCCTTGTCTCAGTGCCTGGCACCCCTGATATTCATGGTAAACTCCTAAGATCCCCTGCTATGGGAGTTGGGAATGACCCACAGAGGAGTGGGTCATTCCCACACAAGAAGTGTCAGGAAGATGGGCTGAGGCCTGGAAAGGAGCAGAGCTTTGAACCAACAGCTCCCCCAGAGGGGCAACATTGTGTGAGGTCTATTCAGAGAAGGCTACTCTACAGGCAACTTTATGTGTATCCTGGTTCTTCCGGATGACCAAGGAAGTTGTGGTGCTTGCTCTCACTGGGTCTGGCTGAATTCCTGAGTATCCTGGCAGTGAGATGAAAAATAAAACATTTCTGTCCTGTGGTGCACATGGACAGGACATCTTAGCACCTGGGTCTTGTGATGGACACTGTTGTTTGGTGAACCCAGCATCCATCCTCGCTTTCTCTGGCAACAGTGCCAGTCTTCTCTGGACAACTGCTGTTTTCCACTTCCAGCCTCTGGGGTTCAGGTGAAGCTGGCTCTGCTCCCTGGTTCCAAAGTGGTCTTGTCAGAGCCAGTCTCCAAGACTTCTGCTAGTTTACTGAGAAGGGTCTTCATTCTCCACGGGGGTAGCATGCCAAACTGGGTCCACTTCTACCTCCGCAGAGAGTTTAAGAACGGAGGTAAGTGCAGGGTGTGTGGAGTCATGAGGGAAAGTACAGGAACCCAATGTTAGCTGCAGCTGAATTGTCACCATACTTAGGCCTGGCACACAAGGAGAAGGAGGGGATTCTGGACCCTAGAAGGAAAGAGTCATGTAGAGAAAGACACCTTGCTGGACAGAGTCTCCAAAGTTTACTGAGACAAGAAGACCAAGATGCAGTTGAGTGGGCAGATCCCCACAGCTTGGAGCCAGGTAGTGAAGGCAGAGGGGGAAAAGATAATGTCGGGCGAGGTGGGGCCAGTATGGATTTTATTGTAAATGGTCATTGAATAAATGCCACCACAGAGGATTTTTAATCAGAAGTCAGCGACCTATTTACCTTTTGGAGATTACTCTGGATTCAAGTGGAGAAATGCATCATATATTGGGATGAAAGTGGAAGGAGGCAATTTAGCCCTTAGGAAGCTGTTGTGGAGGAGGAGGTGGTAGCAGAGATGAGGGGCAGGGCAGAGGACAGTGAAGTGGTGGGATTCAGGTGCAGAGATAGAAGTCAAAGTGGGAAGGGGCTTGTGGTGAAGTCATATGACCTTGGCTACTCCACTTCTCTGAGCCTCAGCTTCCTACCTATTTTGCAATGGTAAGTCTGACAAGTGTAGTGGTTAAGAGTATTGTTTTTGCCAGATCTGGATTTGAATCTCAGTAGGTTACAGCTGGGTGACGTTATGCAAGTCGGTTAATGATAGAATGTAGCCTTTATTGAGCACTTGCTATGTGCTAAGGAGTAGAATCCTCCCCAGACTAGCATACTTTTTGTTATTCCAGTTTACAGGGGGCAGGAAAACAGTAACATGGAGAGAGCAAGTCATTTGTCGGAGGTCTTAGCCAGGATTTTTCTAACCATCACATTACCGTCACTTTTCTGTGCCGGAAACTGGGACAAGAATAATACTGACACTTCCCTGTGCAGTTGGGAAGATTCAAGAAGAGGCCTGGCAAATAGTAGTTGCTGATTAAATTAATTTTAAAACCATTATTAGTTTATTCTTTGTGTTCTCCTGAGTTTTTTGCTGGGAGCAGGCATCACTTGGACAAACCCCTTGGATTAAAGAAAAGACCTGTCAGGTGAGGGGAAAAAAAACTGCAGCTCCCGGCCCCTCACTGGAGATTCGGGGTGTGGCCATAGTTGGGGGTGGACTACAGGGCGGGGCGGGGCCAAGAAAGAGGGCTGGGCTGGAGGGGCGTGACCAGAGCGCTAAAGTCGGGGCTGGGGGCGGGGCCCGGAGTGAAGGGGCAGGGCGCGGGCCGGCAGCGCATGCTCAGTGGTGCGGCCAGCTCCGCCGCCGCCGGCGCCACCGCCCACTTGGGGCTGGCCAGAGGCAGGCAGCTGGGGTGCAGAGTAGGGTTGGGCTGGGCGAGCGCACGGCCATGGCCCCGTGGCTGCAGCTCTGCTCCGTCTTCTTCACGGTCAACGCCTGCCTCAACGGCTCGCAGCTGGCCGTGGCCGCGGGCGGCTCCAGCAGAGCGCGGGGCGCGGACACCTGCGGCTGGAGGGTAAGGAGAAACTTCTCGTTGTCCCCCAAAGCGCGGCGGGCGCGGTGAGCACAGGTGCTTGCCGGCAGCCGAGCGGGTGCCGACGTGCCTGCCCTACGCGGAGTCAGCGGCAGGGCTGGGATCCCCGCTGCTCCCGCCCTTCTTCCCTCCCTCCCGGGGCGCGCGTCCACCAGCCCCCGCCGGGATGAAAGGCGCCGCCCGACCCCGGCTTTGTGTTGTTAATGAGGCGCGGCCACTGGCCGGGGTCTGGCTTCCAGAGGGCGGGCGAGAGGGTCGTCCCGCGCCCGGCGGGAGAAGGGCGCCCCACCCTTTGTTTCCGGACCCGTACCTCCTTCGCCCCAGGGCTGTGATGCTCCGAGCTGTCCCGACTGGGAGCGTTTTGGAGCAGGAGTGGTCCTGTAGTCCACCCCTCCGGTCCACAACTCTGCAGAGGCCCGGAATTGCCAGGGTAGGGACCCGGAGCGCTGGGGAGGGATGCGCCCCCTCTCGTGGCCGCATTGTTCCTTCTAGGCTGGGCCGTCTTACCCCACTTTCACCCCACCCCCGATTCCTGACTTGCTGGGAAATTTTGCTCCCCGTTCAGCCCTTCGTCTAGCGAATGGTCAGTGGTCTCACAGACGACCTACACCCCCTCTCCCTGGCCCCAGCTTGACTTGGCGGATATTTTTCTAGGCCAAAGGAAGGCATGAGTTTGTTACCTCGGTTAGATACTCCAGAGGAGACTGGAGAGGTGCACAGACTTAGCCTTGTTGTTTAGAGCCTTCTCCCAGTAACTGAGCACTTTGATGCTGTCCCGGGTTAGGCATAGGGTGGGGGGGGGCGGTGTGCGCGGGGATGCTGCGGTCCCCGGTCCCCACCAGGGTTCCTGGGCTTGGGCGGCCCCAGGACCCGGAGACTGCATCTGTCTGCCCCGCACCGCCCACCCAAGCCAGGGCGGCCAGGCGTCAGGGCACTCAAGGCCTTTAGACTTGTGGAGGGCTTTGTGAAGGCTTTGCACTCAGGCAGCCATGGACATAACCTTGGCTCTGCTCCTGGGCTCCAGTTTCTCCACCTGAAAAATGGGAATAAATGGGGATTTCCTAGTTATCCCAGCACTGTTGCGCTGAGAGTTGGGTGCTTTACTTAGAACAAGGTTGACTCACCTCTTCTGGGATGTTCTGAATGGCCTTAGCACAGTCAACGCCTAGGACCTGGCACCCTTTTAGAGTCTCGGGCTGGTGCTTCCAGCTGCCTTGTCCCACATTCAGAGAAACACAGTACGGAAACCAGGTATGAGCCAGGCAGCTGAGATATCTTCAAACCCAATGGCCACCCTATAGAGAGCTGTAACACACCCTCCCACCACCAGCCCCGTAGTGAATACAACCTTCCTGTCTGAGTAAAACGTCACATTTTCTTACTCTGTCCCATTTTAGTAAAATATCACAATTATTTTTTAAGATACCAAGTTTTCCCGAGTTTTTAGATCAAAAAGTTTTCCTTAAGGCTATCTCATATTGACTTATTAAACCTACTAAACTTTTTGGATTTAAATGGATATTTTGGTTTTTGAATAACTGTAAGAGCATCACATGTATTTTGAGTTTACATATGACAGCATAGGTGGATCAGTCCAAATTGCTGTTTTTCTGCAATTGTCTAAGTAGCTTCATGTGTCAGTTCACAAAGCTTGGGAAGATTTAATGTTTTGGGTATAATAGTGACCCAGAGGAGCTAAGCTGATGGTTTTGTTCTCTATGCCTGTGGGAATGTGTTCATTTCCCTTGTGTACCCCTGCCCCGAATTAATGGTGGCCCCCGTCCCAGAAGCCTCACACTCAGGCTGACCTCTTTTCTTTCACCACAAATTGGGGGTGACCTCAACAGCTTTTACCTTGGTCTCACTGATTCTCTCCTTGGATCATTTTCATCCCTTCTTGAATGAGCATGGAAGCCTCTAGGCCATCTCCCAGACTCCACACTCTTCCCAACCTGATGCACGGCTCCTTCCCTCCTGGACTTGACTTTTGGTGCATCTGATGGAGCCACCAGCTCTCCCCAACCCCTCTTGCCCACCTGCCTTGCATACCTACCTTTCCAGCCTGTCCCTAACTTTTGTGCTCTTTGTGCTGCTGAGGCATGCTTTCTCTGCTCCTAGGATGCTTTTCCTCCCCTGAGAACCTTCTGCTTGTCCTTAGACTCAGCTCAGGTGATACCATCTCTGGGAAGCCCTCCCTGAATGCCATTCCCCTTGCTTTTTCTTCTCATGCAGGTCCTTGCACTTTAGTTTTCACCACACTGCATTGTCAGTATTTGCTCACATCTGTGTCTTAGGACAGGTTTCTTTAGCCAAGCACTTAACCTCATCTTAGTGGCCTCAGAGCCCGTAAATCTTGGCTGAGCCCAGTTAGACCCTGCAGCCTTCCTGCTAAATTCTGTATTAAGTGATGATTTTAGGAAGTGGATGGAGAGATGAGAGCACTGAGCTCCAGTGTCCTCTCCGCAACAGGCTTTTGCACATGCTGTTCCTGTGTGTGTTCCTTCTCTTTACACCTCAGCCTCCCTCCTCTGCTCCAGCAGCACTTCCTGCAGGAAGCCTTCCCTGCCCCCACCTCCCTACATTGGGTCTTCCAAAAGTTGCTCTGTCAGAGGACTGGCCAGTGAATACTGGTGTTCAGTGATTTGGGCCCTTGATTCACGTCGGAGTCCCCTACCAGATGGTGGGTATTCAGCTCATATATGTTGGTCTCAGTTCTGATGTTGCTTACAGTCTAGTTGGGGCCATGCAGACATAAAAGAAGGGTTGATTATGTGTGAATCAAACAGGAGACTTCCTGTGGGTCCAGGTCACATGGAACCTAAGAGGGGGACAGCAGGATGGAGACGTGTGTCCTGCAGGATCTGGGTGCTGCAGAGGAACTGAGCAAATGACCCTCTTGATCTCCAGGGAGCATTTGTTCCAGGAATTCTTGCCCCTGCAGCAGTGTGTATTTTCCCAGGACATGCAAGGTGACTGCAGCCAGAGAACCTTCAGCGGCTTTTCTAACACACCCTTTGGGGAGGCTCTCTGAGGAGCTGGCCTGGTTTAAATGGCCAGATTTCACAACCCTCCTATTATTAGTGGGGCAATTAAGGGGCCGATACCATCTTGAACACAGCTTAGTGTTTTAGAAATGAGTTGTGGGCACACTTCCTTGACTACTTAAAAAAATCCCTTAGGGCCCTTGTCAGGTAAAGTTGCTCTTGGAGTAATAAATACAATTTTCCCAAAGAAGTAACACTTTCTAAAACTGGTATCCTCATTTACACTGGCTCTTAACTCTTGCTTCTTGATAGTGGAATGTTTTTGTTTGTGATGGGTAACTTTCTATCAGTCATTTGCGCTGAGGTTTTTATTCCCTCGTCTTGCTAGTTGTTCAAAATACACTAATGGAACAAAGAATTAGGCATCGGCTCCCCAGGTTTTTATTTAGTGGCGTTTCCTGCAGTGGAGAAGGAGGGAACAAGAAATGCCTTTCTATCTAAATTGGGTACATCTTCTCTCGTCTTTTATCTCTGAAACAAATGTCTACCCTGCAAAAAGCCCGCTCCTTTAGGAATTCAGGAAGCCAGAATGCTGGCATCATCTTTACAATGAAGTGCAAGTTTCCCATTTAAGGCAAATACTTCATCTCAAAAGGTAGGAAGGAATAGGGTGGTACTTGGAAAAGAAGAAGTTCCAGCTGGTTAAAATTTAGGTCCTGATAAAAGTCCAATCCAAGAACTCTCCTTGGCTGTGGGCCCAGGCATGTTTATTTGATTCTGAATTGGATGCATTTTCATTCACTTGCAGCTCATGGCTCCCTAGCCTGCATCTGGTCTGCCTGTCTTGTGGCCATGTCTTCCATGTTATACATGCTCTTGTGTCTCTTACAGAATTCTTGGTTAAAAAATGACTCAACCCTGTTGACACATTTTTCAGAGAGACATTTTTATAAGAACTGCGATGCTTTCCTCCAGCCTGTTCTGCCGCGTTAATTGGGAATCCTCCTGGCGCGGGTCCATCTCTCTTGAACTGCCCTCCCTTCTCTCCCCTCCCCCATCCATTCCACCGACCCCGCCCCCCGCCGCCCAGAGCCCCTGCAGTGCCTGGGGCATTGTGCTAGTTGTATTAACAAGGGGATACAGCTGGGTGAATGAGACCGGCAAGTAAGTACCGGCTGTGGACCCTTTCCCTCTGAACACAATTTCTCAAAGTCTAGGGGCTTCCAGTATCAGGATTGCCTTTGGGAGCTCGTTAAAATGCATATTCAAGGCTAATGCGACCAGAATGGGAGTGAGATGGGGGTTCAGGAATTGGCATTTTAACAAATTCTTCTGATGCTCTCTCAATGATGAGAGCCATTGCTTTAGGAGACAGGACTTCCCCGGGGCCAGAGAAGGGGGAGAGAAACCACATTCTAAACATTTTAAAATCAGAGTTTGACTTTAAATTACTTGCCTGGATTTAGAGAGGAAGTAGAGACTTTGTCAGAGCCCTGGCCAGTGAAAGGGGTCGGGCTAGTTAAGGGGGTCCAGGGGAGCCAGCTGGGCCGGGCACCCCGGTTTGGGTGGATGCCTTTAGTCTGGGGTCGAAGAGGAGGCCGGGAGTGAAGGCGACCCTGACGCTTCCATGGGTTCCTCCCCAGAACAGCTGGGTTTGTCTGGAAAACAGTCTCAGGAAAGAGTAGGACAGGATCCAAATCATATTCTCTGCAGTTCAAACCTTACCAGCGGTCCCTACAAAGGAAAGAACTGCTAATGCTTTTGTAAGTCTTTAAGTTGAGTATTTTTCATGCTTCATTTGGCCTAAAATGTGTGTGTGTTTAAGCTTTTAGACCCTCTTTTCCCCTCATCGGTCCCTGAGCTTTTCACATACCATGCCCAGCAGATGTTTGCTGCAGCTGGGGCCACCCCATCAGCAATTAATTGTACCTTTTCGTTTCTCACTCCTCTTGTGTCTGCCTCTGATGGATGGGCTTTTAGGCTTCTGGAAGCTTGCCC